CCTCACATTCAATGCATTTCCTATTCGGTTTATTTCGATGGCTTCTTTAATTTTATGTTTGGCAGCAAACATGCCATAATCAGCAAAACGACAAGTTTGAGAACATTCAATCTCGTGTCCCGTTTCTGGCCTGTTCTTTGCCACTCTTTGTCGAATGGGACGACAAGTCTCTCCAACATAAAAACGACCACATGAACACATGATTTTGTAGCAACCGATCTGGAGAATGGGTCAACTTTCTCTCTAAAAGTGGGCATAACTGAAGAAAGTGTTGTAGTTTCCATGACGACCGTTTTCATTTCCCACTTCCTTACTTGTTCAGCTCTCCTTTTAGAGAGAATGCACGAAGGTAAAGACAAAACATGAGAAAAGGTCTCCTTAACTCTCCTTACGTATTCACCATTTAAAAAGCTATTCTTTATCAATCTAATGTTATTTTCAATCAAATATAGGGGATAGTTATTCTCAATAAATATTATTTTAAGCCGATCATATTCATTTTCACAATGGTCTCTATCGGATAGTCTTATGCTCCGAATAACAGAGATTTTAAAACTCCAAATTTTGTTTCCCAATTGGAATTGGACAGGAAGTTAAGTATAAAGCCAGCATGTGTTGGCTTTCTATACACATCCCTGCTTAACCTCTCACCTGCTCTGATTACTAAGACATCTAAAAAGGGTAAATTATTGTTGATCTCCATCTCTATTGTCAACTTAACATTGTAGTCAATCTGGTTACTAAAAAATAAGTAATTATCTAAACTATCCTTGCCATGCCGTCATATTGCAAAGTAGAAATCCATGTACCTAACTAACAGTTTTCGTGTCAATCTTACCTCTTCCATGAAGTGTTCCTCCATTCTAGACATGTTATTATTCGCTAAAATGGGGGCCAAGCAAGATCCCATTGCTAGGCCTTGCACCTGTTCATAAACCTTATTATTGATGGTGAAGTAGGTACTACTCATGGATAGATTAAGTAAAGAGTAAGGGTTTCGAGACTACCAGTAAATCAGTGTAATGAGATGTATTCACCCTATTTCGTGTAAGGTGATGAAAGATTGGTAGAAGAAGAATTTTCCCACAATCATATGAGTTGAGCTGACGTTTCCATTGAATTTCACATTGCCTTGCTTCT